AAAAAAAAAAAAAAAAAAAAAAATTTTACAAAACTGTCATGTCCAATGTATCAACAAGCCATATAAAATAGCATAAGTGTGAAGTGATTTAATGTCACAGTAAAAGAACAAATAGTTTTCACACGTTTGATTTATCTGAGTCAACAGAAAATAAGAGGCCTTTGGGCAGTGCTTGTGGCTCAGCAAGTAGTGTGCTGGCCTCATATACGGAGGGTGGTGGGTTCAAACCCAGCCCTGGCCAAACTGCAACAAAAAAATAGCCGGGCATTCTGGTGAGTGCCTGTAGTCCCTGCTACTCTGGAGGCGGAGGCAAGAGAATTGCCTAAGCCCAGGAGTTGGAGGTTGCTATGAGCTGTGATTCCACAGCACTCTACCGAGGGCAACATAGTGAGACTCTGTCTCAAAAAAAAAAGAGGCCCTTCTTTTTTCACTTCCAAATAGTTTCTTAACTTTCTGGGTAAACAAGCTAAAATCAATAAAGCATTCTCCTTCCCAAATAATTGAGCAGTTATGGAAAAAGAAAAAGAAAAAAGGAGCAGTGGCAGACTAGCCTGAGCCAGAGCAAGACTCTGTCTCAAAAAACAGTTGTGCATTGTGGCAGGCATCTACAGTCCCAGCCACTTTGGAGGCAAGAGAATCACTTGAATCCAAGAGTTTGAAGTTGCTGTGAGCGATGATGCCAAGGCACTCTACCAAGGGAGACCAAGTGAGACTGTCTCAAAAAATAAAAGAGAAAAGAAAAAAATTAAAAATAATAAAGCATTCTCCTCCTCGCACTGCCACCTCTCAAAACTACTCAATTGTGTCAGTTTTTACTGAACTTAAGTCATTTCTGTTTCTTCTAGTATTTGAAAGGGATAAACGCTGCTGCTTCTTTTTTGAAACAGATATTCTTAATGAAATAAATGCACACATACAGTGGTGCCTGTGGCTCAAAGGAGTAGGGCCCCATATGCCAGAGGTGGCGGATTCAAATCTGCTTGAGGCTCTGTGCCCCCGCCCCCAAAAAATAAGAAGAAGAAAAGAAAAAACTGCAAAATAAATAAACGCACACATAACATTATACTTTGAAGAGAGAAAAATGCCTTAAGAACCATCATTAAGTTGGGGAAAGGGGGGTTGTTGTTGTTTTTTTTTTTTTTCTTAGAGACAGAGTCTTACTTTGTCACCCTCAGTAGAGTGCTGTAGCGTTATAGCTCACAGAACCTCCAGCTCTTGAGCTTCCGTGAATCTCCTGCCTCAGTCTCCCAAGTAGCTGGGACTACAGATGTCCGCCACAACAACTGGCTATTTTTTTGTCGCAGTTTGGCCAGGGCTTGGTTCAAACCTACCACCCTTGGAATATGGGGCTGGCGCCCTACTCACTGAGCCACAGGCACCGCTCTAAGTGGTGGTTTTAACAATCCTATTCCTTCATCTTTTCTATCTTCAAGAAAAACATTCATTACAGACTTTAAGCTTTTAAAATATATTATACAATTTTCCTAAATAAATTTAAATACTCTAGCACATATCACAGGACATATCTTAGAAAAAACTTTTAATGGTGGGCGGTGTCTGTGGCTCATAAACTGAGGGTGGCGGGTTCAAACCCGGCCCTGGCCAAAAAAAAAAACAAAAAACAAAAAAACACTTTTAATGGGGCGGCACCTGTGGCTCAGTGAGTAGGGCGGCGTCAGCTCCATAAACCGAGGGCAGCAGGTCCAAACCCGGCCCTGGCCAAACTGCAACAAAAAACAGCCGAGCATTCTGGTGGGCGCCTGTAGTCCCAGCTACTTGGGAGGCAGAGGCAGGAGAATCGCTTAAGCCCAGGAGTTGGAGGTT